GAAATGACATCGACCACATGAGCAAACAATTTAGTAGCAGCTGGATCTCGATAATGAGACATATTTTTCTCTAAAAGATAGGATAACAGAAGAAAGTGTGAGGATTTCTTTGAACGTTGTTTTTATGCCCGACTTCTTTAATAATTCACTTATCTTTTTTGAGAGAACGCATGACGGCAAAATTAGGACATGGGAAAATGTAGTAGAAAGTTGAGTATGAACTATTTATGCTTGATTGATAGATTGAAAGAGAGAGAGGGTGCTGAGCCGCACTCAAAAAGAAGACGACTAAATTTGTCTGCTCGATAATGGTCCTAACTTCACTCACATTCCTGGAACATGCTCATCAACTAAACCAGACATGCCAGATTACGCAGCCCATCTTGCCTTTCCTTGGGGGATTAAATGTTAATGACCCTAGACTAAAAGGTCAGAACAAGTGGTTTCGTGACTTGATTTTCATGCTTACATGCTCATACCTCATGCACATACGGACTTACGCGTTCTCGATCAAGGCTTTCTCTTGGGTCATTATGTCTTGAGAACCAGAACCTGAGATTAAACCTTTGAAAACTCTGATTTAGGACCGGTATTGCATATAGACGCTAACATGCACACATACACATACGCATACACTCAAGCAAAATAATATGACCAGTATGAAGGATAATTAACCAAACCCCTCTATATCGATCTATCTGAGTTTTTAATTTTCATTTGGCTCAATTAAGTCTAAATAAGAAGAAAGATAAAACAGGATAATTTTCTTGCCTTAGTGGTAAAGTGAGACCTTTACAAGAATGACGCCCAGCTCTGATGATGTTTATCAAATGATGGACGAAAGCTCAGCACGTTTTTATCTGAAACGAGGGAGCATGAATATACTATAAAAGCCAAACGGCTGCAGTATAACGAGATTTATCCGTCCTTATCTGGTGAGATCGACCAATGAATCACAGCTTTATTCACTTTCATACGAAATGAAAGTCCCCCTAACAATGTTATTTCAAGAGATTCATCGAAACTCAATTTTCATCATATTTACTTTTGTGAAAGCAAGACTATGTGAAATTCAAAGGAAACGTAAACTATAATCATATAATTGTGCGAAAATTAAACTACAAGTCATCGGATCACCTTAAATGAAATAGACTAAAGACCTCCCACATAAACCACTGACAAATACCATTCTTGAGATGATGATTATCATATTGATTGTAATTATGCATAAATACATAGTCATAACGCTGTGCGCGAAGATCAACATAAATATGATAAGGCATACTTATAGGCACGTGCATAACACAACAAATAATTTAAAAAGCATATATGATTGTAGAGGCTTCCGGGAGGAGTGCTTGCATATTGGAAATAATTATGACGAGAATTTATAGAATAGCTTGAATACATGGCTGAAAATTTGATTTGATATCGCTGTAACATTGTTTCGGAATTAAGCAGTGCGATGTAATGTGTAGTGTAATGCAATGGTATTAATCAAAGTATACGCCCGAAAAAAAATACAGGCATGTCTCTTGCATTCTTAGCTTCAATTGAAGTGGCTTTCATAAAAAAATTCAATTAACAGAGGTGATGATTGTGGCATTGATAACTATAAAACGCTTGTTAGTTAAGTTAAGATTTTAAAAATACATCTTTACTTGCCTTTATGAATTACTTTGATAAGTTTAATCTCTGTGCGATATTAACTATGTTTAACAGGATAGCCCAGTTACTTAGACTAAGTTGTGAAAATAGGTTCAAACTAGCACTATACAGATAAATGTTAATGCGACGAAAACTAAGGAGACATAATCTTGATTTTCATAACTACATTTTAAATCCTAGTTAGATGAGTATACATTATATCAATCTATTTTTGAATTCAATAACTATAACTAATAAAATTGAAAATAAAATTTAAAGAAAAAAAACAGCTTCCGAACAAATAATTATTGCTGATTCAAAGTCTGACCCCTCTAAAGTATGATTAAAAGATTCACTAAAACAACATGAGGGATCATGAATAAAAAAATTGGGATAACCATTGGCAACAATGATTTAATAGATTTCGTGTTTATAAAATAAAAAAGCGCAACGAATGGATTGATAAGAGGCCATAAATAGATGAAAAGGGAAGAATAAATATTGCCAACTCATGACCGAGAAAAATAAAAATACAGACGAATAGAAAATCCAAACAAATTAGATATAACACACTTGCAGAGCTATAATCGAAGGAACATGTACCAGCCAGAAAATAATGATGATTAGTTGATAATTCAATGCATGGAATTCTTGCATAGCTATCATATTCGAAGAAAAATTAATATGTCATGACTTATGCATATATGCCCTCACTACAAAAGTTGATTTTCGTCACGTGCGTAGCTATCTCGAAACGTATCCTACTCAAAGACCACTTATAAATATTCATATCGATCAATCGTATATCGTCATTTTAGCGGACCCATTTTTGAACCTCCTATATCGAGACTTTCATAGCCAATTAGATGATAATTTAATCACGCAAGCTTTGAAGAAAAAGGTTTTCCCGACTGAGTAGTTTTTCAGAGCCCTGACTAACTTATATAGGTTTTTATCATTGTCGCATAATGCCGCCTTTTATCGCTATGAGCTCTCTTACATAAGGGGTTTGCTCAAGGTTTTACCTGTGAAAAGTCCTGACGTTTGCCTCATATACAACCATGACAGCATCGTATCGTAAACTAATGATCCATTCTCATTAAGATTAATTAAACACTCTTAACATGCCTTTCCGATCGGGTGCCACGCTTCCGTAAGCCGCTTTTTACATCTGCATCCGAAATGATAGAAGTCCGTTGAATTTCTATTTAAAGAGGAGCGCGCTTAGCCAGTTGGGTATACTTACTTTGGGACACATTAATACGATGTCTAAAGAAAGCTATGCTGAAATTGAATATATTTATATATCAGTGATGGTTGAGTAGAATGATGTTGGGAAATGAGGGGCCTGAAAGAGGACAACCGACGCATGCAACGTAGGATATAGCAGTTGATGGGAGGCTGCGGAGGCGCAACAAGGATAGGTGGCATCTATTTAAAATTGGCCCAACAGCAGTTGCATAGCCACTCCGGAGCAAGTTCAACTCTAATGAGGTGGGCGCAACGAAACATTGTAGAAAGTCTGTCTGGAACAATAAAGATAGCTTAGCGGGTATATTTCACAGCTTAGAAAGTAAGCTGATGTTGGCTACAATTAGAGCAGGATCAAGAGTAATTCTATTCTTAAAAACAAGAGATTATGTAAGCTTAAATGAGCCTGACGACAAATATAAATCAAAGCTAATAATATACATATGAACTAACTAAATATAGAAATAGGAAGTTTCTATAACCCAGAAATTTCGTTTAGGAAATATGAAAAATGGGATAAAAATAATACTTAACAAAGCGATCGCAAGATATGGCTAATTTTAAGGCGATCAGAGGATCTAAAGAACAGACGACAAAAGAGAAATCACATTCCAATACAGTCAATGTGCGTTGACAGGCAGTTGTCCTAAACGATATGAAATGAGGTACGGATGCAAGCGGTCTTTTTGGCCAGAGGATCCAAAACAAACAGGAAGTATCGAATATATGGTATAATAGATCATAATGTAGGAAAATTGATCGACTACACTGAAAGAAAGCAATGTAGAGGATTAAGTAGATCTAGGTGAAGGCACGTATGCTAGCGTGATGATTTAGGAGCCTAGGATTAGCCCTAGGTACGATCAGGAGGAAATCAGACAAAATTATCTAGGAAATTGGAACTTGGGGGACCATGAGTACTGAGTAGCTATAGCAAAAACAATGAAGATTAATGCATATATATATATATATATATATGTTTTAGATAAATAGGGAACAATGATAGGGAAAAAAATAATTAATCACTATTTGTCAACATTCAAAATTGAGCAGACATCAATGCAATTAGATAATATTGGTGATAATAAAGTCGATAACTAGAATAATAACCATCCGCCAGTAGACATTCTTTCTTTATGTGAATTGTAATCTATTTTCTGTGCACTATGTAGAAAATAAATAAATAAAGATGTAATGATATGAATGGATGCAAATATAAGCAGTCATATATATATATATATAAGTATATAGAAAAACGTATATTTAAAAGCGTATACACACAAAATAACTCTTGATTTCAGAAGGATGAAAAGGGGATACGAACTAATCGGAATCATAAGTAAGATTTAGATACATAGGAGGTATTATAGACCGACCGATTGGCCAACACAGACATACACAAACACACACAGACAGACATACAGATTATGATCATCTATGGTATAAGGCAAGCCAATCAGCAGTCTCCCATGTTCTCAGTATATAGTCCTAGCAGCAGACAGATGAGGCAATCAATGAAACCGGAATACGAATTTACAGGAGAAAAGCAATCAAATAACCGAAAGAAAACAATACAAGAGAATTGGCGAGAAAGTGTGAGAAACGGAGAGGAAGAGCAGACTTTGTGGGAGAGGATTGGCCTCAATCGGAACGGCTCGCGCCATAGACCAGAGAAAAGAATGTTTTCCCGAACTGGCCAGCCGTACGTATATTTGGTTGGCTGACGAGCTGGCAGGGCGACAGGCGAAATGGAAGTGGGCCAAGAGTCGAACGATCCAGTCTAAAGCTTAGAAGCTTCGTTTCATTCAGAAACGCAGCAAAGCGGAGGATAAGCGATGACGCTGGCACAAGTTGGCCGCTTACAGCCATTGTCCGATGCCAGTCTGAGTGCCTGCGCACATTTGCATGTACAAAGAACAACAGAGGCGTATTGAATTCTTCACATCCTTGCGTGGGTGCATAAAGAATGTTCAAGTGTGCGCGTAATAGGCTACGCGAAACTGATGACCAAGGCGGATCAGGGCAAGGGGTGGTTTGGCTTTGACGCTATACCGGTTGGATGGCCGACGCATAGCTGTCTTGAAATGAGGTCATATCAGTAGTGGTTGGTAGTAAAAGTGAGAAAAAAATGTGTGGGTGAAGCGTCAAAAAATTACGAGTGGCGAGTTAGCAAGAATACGCCACATCGGAGCG